AGATCAAGGAGAAGACAAGAGATTTTGTTACAGGACAGAACTGGGGGATATATCAAAATTGCCAGAAATGGAATACTATTTGGGCTAAAGCAGCAGGGAAGAGTCTCTTTTAGTCTAGGTCTAATTCAAGCTATTATTTCTTATTCAAACATAGGTGTGTCTGCACTCTTAGCAAGGATTACCTAACTCAGGCCGGTCAACCACAGCTAAGATCACGTCATTTAGGTCTGTCTCCCAAGGGGGCAGTTGGCCCAACAGCTTTTGAATCTTTTACCCAATTTCCGCCAAGCTGGTAGATGCATAGAATTCAGGACAGCATGAGGTCTTACACATTTAATGAAAGCTGCATAGAGGAATGAGATCTCATCAAGTGCTTCATCCAAGAGAAAGAGTCAAGCTTTACTTGTTATCAGAGAAGCCATATTATGGAGGAGAGGTTGAGAACAGGAAGAAATGTATGAATGTTGTAGCAAGTCCATGGGCAAAGTTTCTTGCTACCAGTGAGCTCCTTTTTTTCTGAGAATAATTTAGTTGGGAAGTCAGATAAACACATGAGACAAAGCCACAGAGCCAGCCCAGCTATTTAGGCACCTAACTGACACGTGCAGAGCCATGCCCCACATTCAACTATCTATAAAATGGATAGGATGAAATAAAACTGAAAGCCCCTCATAGATACCCCAGTACTCTTAGGTCCCGGAGTCTAAAATATTAGTGCAGAAATTGGGTGAAATGAATTTTACCGTTAACTTAAGCCATCTCAAAGGTAGAAGCTGAATCTCAACCTACCCTCTAGACTGCTTCTACAGTCAACAGAGAGAGATGCTTCCAAGAAGGACTCAACTCATTTAGATGTGTCTCTTAAGGCTTGAAGAACCTCCCAGAATTGTTTATCATCCTTAGTCGACGAATTCATCAAAGTTAAAAAGTCAACAACATTAATTTAGAAAAGCAGCCCGCCAGCTTTTTAGATAGTGAACGTAAGGAGACATTAACTCATCCATCTGTACCTAAGTGAAGTAGCCTGAATTGCATCCCAGGCTTAATTGGTTCTGCTGTTTATTGAATTACTTGTCCTTGCAGCATCGACACTTTCTGGGACTCAGAAAATGGAGATGCTCATCCAGGGCAAAGCCCTCAATTTCACCAGCTGATTCCTTTTTATTCTGTATAAGGGGAACAATATCATCCATTTATCTCAAAAGAGGGATAAACTGAATAACAGACTGTCAAAAAATCGTGGTATTCACTTTGAACATTTTTTTTACCTTATTTTTTAAACTGCAGTTATCTGGAGAAAGTAAAGTAAGCTGAAAAGAGGTGTTCTTTTTTTTTTATGTTTTGACAGCAGAAATACGGACACAGCATTCAGAAGGGGTTACTAGGGCAGGCTGTCAATCTACTATTGTGTTTCATTTTATGTAGACCGGAGTTTCTTCAGGATAGGGCCTATATTTTGACACCGTTTTTTGCAATCTCTTTTTCGGTTATGCCATGTGGTAACTCTGTGGCACTATAAACTTGTCACTGAGTTTGGTTCCCCTGACACATGGTTGAAATTCACAGTGACAGTGTTTCTTGCAGAAATATAATACTGAAAAATATAATATGCTATTGGGAAGTTTCTGCAAACCACACCAAAGCTTTGTCTCAACACTGACACCTTCACAGTGCATAAAGGAGATATTTCCACCATGCCAACATAAATGTACCAGGAGTGTCAGGAGAAACATATCCATAAAGTCGCAAATGACACCCCAGGCTGGTTTACAGCAGTAAAACCCTATTGATTTTTCTAGTGTTACTCCTATTTTCCATTAAAATAGCTTGGTCCTCTTCAGGATTCAGCTCTGATACGCTGCTATGAGGCAGGGTGACTCCTCCACTTTCCCATCTAGCTCATGGCTGAGCCTCATGCCTCACACTGGAATAACTTGTCCTCTCCCAAAGGACTGCACAGCAAGCAGCATATCCCTCTTCCACTTCTTGTATTTGATTCCCAAAACCAAGCTCTTTTCCAGACACATTTGGTGTCCAGCAGTATTACTAATGGAAATAATTTGAATCGGACATGATGGTTCTTGTAATGGAAGTACCCAAGTTGGATGGGAGCTGGAGGAAACTCTCATTTCCTGTGGTGTGTGTGAGGAGTGGGGCACCTGTGTCCTGCACGGGGACTTTGCCAGCTGAAGGAGGCAGGAAAGGGTGGTTTGCAACGGAAGACTTCAACAACAGAGGTGCAACAGAGGCCCAAACCTCATTTTTCCTTGTTATATTTTCCACTGCTTAATACAAAAAAAGCCTTAAGAAGAAAAAGGATATTCTGACTTAGACCATATATTTTTTCTGGCAGTTTACAATCACTGAAGAGAAATGATTTTTTTTTAAGCAAACTTTCAGTCTAGAGGGTTAATAATTAGAGCAACTGGGGTGCATCTCAGATCTTTACCACAATCCTTCATTTAAAAAGGCAGCAGCAATGGTCAGAACGTGCCATTTGTTGCCATGACAAACGATCACTCCCCATTACAGAAATGGGGAATGGTGGCACTTCTTAGTTCCTGCTACCGCAGTGCACTTCAGGAAGGGTTGAACTTTCCAACACGGGCAGCCTTGCTGCTGCTTTTTCCTTCATGCATTATATACTCATATATCTTTAATGTGGAATAAGAGCAACACAATCAATTATTTATTATGCGGCTGACACGACGCAATGAAGATGCAACAGGCAACTGTTCAATAATGCATTACCATGTACTATATAGCTGTGTTGTGTGCAACTGCAAGACAGTATGACTGAGCCTTGCACTTAGCTTGACTTCACAGCCAAGAAATTACATGCACTTGTCTAGTTCACCCTCCTGAAAGGCATTATTCTG